CATACAGCGAGCCGATTGTTGGCCACTATTTTCCGGGTTGCGTGGTACACTTGGAACGCCAATACGACTTCTGTAGCAGAAATGCCGATCCAAAAACTAATTTCCATTTTTGGTCCAAAATTGTATTTTGCAACTTTGGAGGTTAAAAGCACAGTTTGAAATAGGTTTCTCAGCATTGTCAACCTCACTAAGCAACCCAGAATTCAATTCTCTATCGCCCTGCTGTGTTGGATTTGCAAAAGGAGGTCAAACTTCTAATTGAAACGAAAAGGCCCGAAGCGCTGCAAAACCGGCAAAACAGTTCAAGTATTTTGTGGAGCTTAATGTGTGAAAACTATTTCTCAGATTGTAAATCCAACCACACCACCTTGTAGGCCAGTCAATTCTACAGCTCCATTGTAAGTTTCATCGCAATCGGAGACCAAGAGTAAAGACAGCTATAATAATTGTAAATCCCATCAGTTTGGTTGATTGGTCGAGCGGGCGCAAGTATGAGAAATCGCTGCGGCAGATTTTTGCAGCTAACTTTAAAATATATTCTGCCGCCTTCACTCTTGGTCTCCGATTGCGATGAAACTTACAATGGAGCTGTAGAATTGACTGGCCTACAAGGCACAGTGTAATAAAAGATCGAAAAGTGGGAAAAAAATATTTTATTGTTCTAACTGACTTAACTTAATGCAGAAAGACGCATTCTGGTAGGAAAAGTGCCACAGGACCATCCAAGCGTCACAGAGACGCCATTTTGGAGAAAAAAGTGGTAAAAATGCCGTATTTTTAGTTCTTGACACCCATGGCTTCTGCTGTTTAGCGTATCCGCAACTTTTCTCGACGCCAACTAGTTAAGAGGTACTAGGACAAAACTTGATAACATTTGGAGCGTTGAACTAGGTGGGGAACTCGAGATATTTCGCCTCAAAGTTTACAAATGTCCCAAAAATCTACCAAAAATGCCATTTTCTGACCGTTTTGAAAGCTTGGCTTCGGCTCTATGGCGAATCCGCAACTTTTCTCGACGCCAACCAGTAAAGGGGTACTAGGACAACAGTTAATAGCATTAAGAGCATTGAGCTAGGTGGGGAACTCGAGATATTTCGCCTCAAAGTTTTCCAAATTTCCTAAAAATCTTCCAAAACTGCCATTTTTTGACTTTTTTGAAGCCCTGGCTTCGGCTCTATGGCGAATCCGCAACTTTTCTCGACGCCAACCTGTAAAGGGGTACTAGGACAACACTTGATAACGTTTGGAGCATTGAGCTAGGTGGGGAACTCGAGGTATTTCGCCTCAAAGTTTACAAATGTCCCAAAAATCTACCAAAAATGCCGTTTTCGAACATTTTTGAAGCCCTGGCTTGGGCTCAATGGTGAATCCGCAACTTTTCTCGACGCCAAGTAGTTGAGGGGTACTAGAACAACAGTTGAGATCATTTGGAGCATTGAGCTAGGTGGGGAACTCGAGATATTTCGCCTCAAAGTTTCAAAATTTTCTAAAACCTACCAAAAATGCCATTTTCTGACCTTTTTGAAGCCCTGGCTTCGGCTCTATGGCGAATCCGCAACTTTTCTCGACGCCAACCTGTAAAGGGGTACTAGGACAACACTTGATAACGTTTGGAGCATTGAGCTAGGTGGGGAACTCGAGGTATTTCGCCTCAAAGTTTACAAATGTCCCAAAAATCTACCAAAAATGCCGTTTTCGAACATTTTTGAAGCCCTGGCTTGGGCTCAATGGTGAATCCGCAACTTTTCTCGACGCCAAGTAGTTGAGGGGTACTAGAACAACAGTTGAGATCATTTGGAGCATTGAGCTAGGTGGGGAACTCGAGATATTTCGCCTCAAAGTTTCCAAATTTCCTAAAAATCTTCCAAAACTGCCATTTTTTCACTTTTTTGAAGCCCTGGCTTCGGCTCTATGGCGAATCCGCAACTTTTCTCGACGCCAACCTGTAAAGGGGTACTAGGACAACACTTGATAACGTTTGGAGCATTGAGCTAGGTGGGGAACTCGAGATATTTCGCCTCAAAGTTTACAAATGTCCTAAAAATCTACCAAAAATGCCGTTTTCGAACATTTTTGAAGCCCTGGCTTTGGGCTCAGTGGTGAATCCGCAACTTTTCCCGACGCCAAGTAGTTGAGGGGTACTAGAACAACAGTTGAGATCGTTTGGAGCATTGAGCTAGGTGGGGAACTCGAGATATTTCGCCTCAAAGTTTCAAAATTTTCTAAAACCTACCAAAAATGCCATTTTCTGACCTTTTTGAAGCCCTGGCTTCGGCTCTATGGCGAATCCGCAACTTTTCTTGACGCTTACTTGATGAGGGGTACTAGAACAACACTTGAGATCATTTTGAGCATTGAACTAGGTGGGGAACTTGAGATATTTTGCCTCGAAGTTTAAAAAGTTTCAAAAAACTTACCAAAAATGCAATTTTCTGACCTTTTTGAAGCCCTGACTTCGGCTCAATGATGAATCCGCAACTTTTCTCGACGCCAAGTAGTTGAGGGGTACTAGAAGAACACTTGAGATCAGTTAGAGCATTGATTTAGGTGGGGAACTCAGGATATTTCGCCTCAAAGTTTAAAAATGTTTTAAAAACCTAGCAAAAATGCCATTTTCTGACCTTTTGGAAGCCCTGGCTTCGGCCCTATGGCGAATCCGCAACTTTTTTCGACGCCAACTAGTTTAAGGGTACTAGAACAACACTTGAGATCATTTGGGGCATTGTGCTAGGTGCGGAACTCGAGAGATTTCGCCTCAAAGTTAACCAGTGTCTAAAAAAATCTACCAAAAATGCCAGTGTCTGACCTTTTTGTAGGCTTGGCTACTGCTCTAGGCGGAATATCTCGAGTTCCCCACCTTGCTCAATGCTCCAAATGATCTAGAGTCTTGTCGTAGTAGCCCTTAACTAGTGAGCGTCGAGAAAAGTTGCGGATTCACCTTAGAGCCAAAGCCAGGGCTACAAAAAGGTCAGAAAATAGCAAGTTTTTAGAAAAAAATTTAACTTTGAGGCGTAATATCTCGAGTTCCCCACCTAGCTCAATGCCCTGAACGTTATCAAGTGTTGTCCTAGTACCCCTTTACTATTTGGCGTAGAGAAAAGTTGCGGATTCGCCACAGCCGACGACAAGCCTTCAAACAGGTCAGAAAATGGCATTTTTGGTAGATTTTTAGGAAATTTGTTAACTTTGAGGCAAAATATCTCGAGTTCCCCACCTAGATCAATGCTCCAAATGATCTTAAGTGTTGTTCTAGTACCCCTTAACTAGCTGGCGTCGAGAAAAGTTGCGGATTCACCATTGAGCCCAAGCCAGGGCTTCAAAAATGTTCAAAAACGGCATTTTTGGTAGATTTTTCTGATATTTGTAAATTTTGAGGCGAAATATCTCGAGTTCCCCACCTAGTTCAATGCTACAAACGTTCTCAAGTCTTGTCCTAGTACCCCTTAACAAGTTGGCGTCGAGAAAAGTTGCGGATTCGCAAAACAGCAGAAGCCATGGGTGTCAAGAACTGAAAATACGGCGTTTTTACCCCATTTTTCTCAAAAATGGCGTCTCTGTGACGCTTGGATGGTCCTGTGGCACTTTTCCTACCAGAATGCGTCTTTCTGCATTAAGTTAAGTCAGTTAGAACAATAAAATATTTTTTTCCCACTTTTCGATCTTTCATTACACTGTGCAAGGTGGTGTGGTTGGATTTACAATCTGAGAAATAGTTTTCACACATTAAGCTCCACAAAATACTTGAACTGTTTTGCCGGTTTTGCAGCGCTTCGGGCCTTTTCGTTTCAATTAGAAGTTTGACCTCCTTTTGCAAATCCAACACAGCAGGGCGATAGAGAATTGAATTCTGGGTTGCTTAGTGAGGTTGACAATGCTGAGAAACCTATTTCAAACTGTGCTTTTAACCTCCAAAGTTGCAAAATACAATTTTGGACCAAAAATGGAAATTAGTTTTTGGATCGGCATTTCTGCTACAGAAGTCGTATTGGCGTTCCAAGTGTACCACGCAACCCGGAAAATAGTGGCCAACAATCGGCTCGCTGTATGTATGGACCTAAAACGAACGGAAATAGCTTTTTTAGTGAAAGGGAAACTTCAAGTCGGCTGTCTGGTGCCGTAAATTTGGTTTTCAAATTGATTTTAGAATGTTTTACATATCCAAAAGTCCATTCCATTGTCACTCACGGATAGGAAATTTTGCGTAGAATCTAAAAATGACCTCGTTTACTCAGTTCGATGCAGTTTTGACAAAGTTCTGCTTAATTTGGTTCGGCCGCGCGGCCCAGCCGCCCGGCCGCTCCTTGCCGGCCCGAGCGGCGCGCATAGCTTCACGCGCGCACTAGGCTGTTGCCACCCCCTGCTAAAACTGACGCATTCTGTCCAGAAATCCCGAGTGGCCGAGGGATTAAGGGCCCCCTTCTCTCCCCCCGCCCCGCGCAGGTAGGCTTCGGCCGGCACGCCGGTCAGCGGTGATTTTCCGAACGCTCCGGCTCGGCTCGGTGTGCCTGGCTCGGCTGGCCGCCGCCGGAGCGGCTCGGCTCGGCTCGGGTGACCCGGGCTTCGGTCCAGGCCGGAACCAGGGCAAACATGTCGCATCCTGCAGCTACCAGCGGAGTGCAGGCTGATTTTAAACTCAACACTAGACGGCCGTTCGCTTAGCTGAGCAAAAGTCTATTTACTACTGCTCTAGCAATTCAGGGTCTATAGCACCTGAAACGCAGTCATGCCTTTTATCAGAAAATAAAGCGTCAATTTCAGACTGCGCAGGATGAAAATTCAGACCTTCTACTACAAATGACTGTTTTAAGACCCCGACGCCGAAAATTTATACCGCGCCATCCAAATATTCAGACTCTTGAGTCCGAAACTCATTTTTCAGACCACAAGGTGTAAAACTAAGACCAACTGTCTGAAAATTCTGACTCAAGTCTGAATTTCAGATTCAGACCACTAGGTCTGAAAAAATTGGTCTGAATTTTCAGACTTTTTTTAACAGTGTATCTTTTGACGCTGACTGTTATCGGAAATGGTCGATCAAGGAACTTGGGTGGGCATGGTTCGAAATGTTCCACTACAACGACGTACGGTCCCTGTAAAGACACACGCACTAAGGTTTGAAGCTTTGATGCTTTGGAGACGAAATAATGTGGTATTTATCTTCCTTCCCATCGAACGCGATCAACAACCGAGAGAAAATCATTCGCTATGACAGCAAAGTAAATATTTTTCAAAAGATTAAAAATAAGTTACAACTTACTTGTAAGTTACAAGTCTTACTTTTGCGTTTTTTTAAAACAAGGTAGGTTTACGCCAGACCGCGTCTTGTCGTAACAGGCTTCGCGATGTCTCGCGGCCTGTTCCTCCAATCCGCGCCTGGCGTACCTACCTTGGCCTGCGGCGCTAGCCTGCCTTCGGCAGACATTGGCTTGTCCATCGTCGGTTACTTCTTACGTGATGCATGCTGAGGGGCTCCGCCCCCCAGACTCCCCTTCATTCTAGAAAGAGTTGCTTCATCTACAGATAACACAATCTGGACCCTTGTCACTTTTTAACTTGTCGGGGCTGGGGGGCTCCGCCCCCCAGACCCCCCTTTCTTCAAGGCAGAAATGATCTGCCTGCAGAAAATTCGATTTTTCGCCGTTTTTCAGGTGTTTTTCGGCTGTAAAAACTGAACCAGTTGAGCTAGGATAGTGAAATTTCGCGTGTGCCGAGCCAAGAACATACCTAATAAGCCTGCAAAATCTCAGCCAGATCGCCCGAGCCGTTCAGGAGGAGTAGTGTACACACACAGACAGACACACAGACAGACAGGAAAAACTTTTCAACCCCACTGGAGTAACAGGCTTCGCTATCGCTCAGCCAATAAATCATGAATTTGAAATAATGAAACACCATTTTCTGTTCACATTTTGCGCAGACTCATCAAACAAAAAATGTCCGTCACAACGATATACAGACTTGCTACTCTCTTAACTTCATAAAAACTCATCATGAAACGCAACAAAATCATGAAAAATCATGACTACGGAAACGAATGTCTTCCGATTCCAACATTGCTGCCAACTGTCGATGGGGATTCGAAGCCTGGAATGTCTCGAGCTAATTTCAACCGAAGACCAATACGCCAGACTTCTTTCAAAGGTACTTAAGCTGCAACGAAAAATGACCACCGCATATCTATTTCACAACACAATTTTCGAAAAGGCTGCTCTGGACCTCTACCCAAGCCAAACTTTAAACTTTCCATGACTTAAATCATCAAAGTGGAGTCCCTGGGAAATAATTGCTTGGGTCGCGGGAATCTAAGATGCTCTACACAGTCTCAAAGCGGGCTAGAGCATTAAAAGATGGTGTGTATCAACAATGACCTGTAACTTCCGTGGCACCCTTTACCCAATGTTGCAGCAGCACTAGGTGAAACAAATTTTCGCTTAAATGTCGGGCTTTGAGTATTATTTGACCCTGGAACTGCTAGCCACAGCCAGCCCGAGTCAGCCGTTTAAGCCAATTTTCACACTTTGTAACTTCAGTGATAACGTAATTTCCGTGATCAAAATACCCGCTAAACGTATAGAAATACCTTAGGGCTCATGTTTTTAGGGAGGTAGTACAAGGTCTTTACTATAAATACCATTGCCATAACTCTAGCATCATTCAGGACCCCAATAATCAAAAAAACCTACTTGGACACTGAAAACGTAATGGTCGGATACATGGCCAAATGATGGCGTGACAAAAAGTCACGCCAAAAATTGGCGTGACACCAAATCCACGCCGAAAAAAGGCGTGACGTGACATGTGAGTCGCGCCCTCATTTGGCGTGAATGACAACGCGTTTTAGGAGACAAGTCACGCCAAAAAGCGGCATGACTAGAAATTCACGCCAAAAATTGGCGTGAATTTATGAGTCACGCCGATTTTTGGCGTGACTTTTCTGCCATGCCGTTAATAGTGTGACACTTAATTCACGCCTCTGCAGCGGCACGAAGTCACGCCGATAGATTTTCAGTGGATATTTCTCACTTTCGGCAAATCAGAGACGTCAAAAGTGCCCCGAAACGTGAGAATCGCTAATATCTTATAGTATCCTGCAGGACGTTACTGCACTGTTCCAGCGCTGGACGCAAAATGGTTTGACCTTGAATGAACAGCTAAACTTGGTTTCCAGGGGCTCTATTTAAAAGATCTTATCTGGGTGTTCCCCCAATAGAATCTTATCTTCATCGCAGGCAAATTTCACTCAGTTTGATTATTTGGTACAGCTACAATTCTATGTAATTTGTGATTTAATTCACTTCAATCGGAAGATGAAAGATCAAAGAAACCCATAAGGCATGTAGAAATATATCCCGCTTATTCTCGTGTCCGTCCCAAATGATCAAACTGAGTGAAATTCACCTGCGTTTAAGATAAGATTCTCTTGGGGGGAACGCCCAGATAAGATCTTTTGAATAGGACCCGTCGATATCTGGCTATGGCCGGTTGCTCAGATTTTCTAAAGAATCTTTTTAAAAAACAATTTTTTTTTTTTTTAAAAGTCTAATTTGAAACGTTAACAAGAATTGTAAAAACATACCTATCGCAATTATTTTGATACCGGCCAAAGCAGCCACCACGCAAATGTCACTACTGTATCTCAAATATTACGCTTAATACAGTGCAATTTCATGTTCTGAGAAAAGCGCGGTCAAAGTAAAGAAAACTTGTGTTTTAGCACCTGTTTGCGGCTAACTTCCTCCTGACTACGGTCACTTGAATTGTGGAATGCAGTTTTCAGCATTTGAAGCAGTAAAGAACAATAAATTACAAAAGTTGCAATCATTTAACCATTTTGGAGTGATGTCCCCTCGAAACGGTGAGTGACGATCTTTTCAACGTTTCCATACCGCCACTTTCTGCCCATCCGAGTAGCCGAGGAGGACTGCGGTGAGAAGGCCCAATCCGAGTGGAATCTTCTTTCTGAGACTCACTGCGTGCAAGAGATCAACACTCTCAGCACGTTACTGACTTTTTCCTCATTAATTACGTATTCCTATAAACAGCAATAATCCTTAGTATTTTCTAAGTATGACTAATTTCCTTTGTAAAGTTATGTACAAAACAAAATTTTCAATACATTATTTAATATTTCCTAAGTAGTTCTTTAAAAAAGGAAAAGTACGTATTACGCACAGTAAATGTCTTACGGTGAAAGGCTGCACCAACATAATATGGAGGCGATTTTCGCCATAATACCAACGAAACTTGTCAAAATCTCTATAAGGTACAGTGAATTCTCAATGGTATGATACGAAGTCAGCTGCACCACCATAATATGGAACATTTTCACCATAATATGGAGAATCTTCACTGTAGAACATTTAGAGTGCGGTTGCACAAATTACTTGCATAGGTACTGACAAAATGAGCAAAAAGTCAATAACGTGCTGAGAGTTAAGCTTTTTAAGCCTTGGCTGAGGCCAAGGCTCTCAAACAAAACCAAATTTTTTGTCAGAAGCACGTATTTTTCTTTTTGAAAGACTTTTTGAAAATTTGAAAAATCCCTTCACAAAAGGTAAACTTGTCCAAATTTACAAACGAAAACTGAATTTCGCTATTGCCCTGAAAGTACTGTGGCATCAGCTGTGATGTTTATCACGGGTTGGTTGCTTTAATTCCCCCCGTTTTCTACCTTAACTGGCAACATTTGCGTCAAATATAATCAATAATGGACATTAAGTTGAATAACGTTTACTGTGCCATGCGATGCGCTTTCGAGGTATGCCGGGACATTCCGTATCGATAGACACCTCCTTGCACTCTACAAAAAATGTCCTGTCAACGCCGTTAATTTATTACCAATGTTTGCTGTTATTCAATTCACGGCGTTTCCTGTGAACTAGTTCACGGCATTCACTGTGATCTCGGTTACAGTGTTCACTGTGATCTGGCCACAGTAAACGCCGTGAATTGGAGCCTGATTTGCAGTACTTCGGTGCTCAGCGGCGTCAAACTCACAGTGTTTACTGGGGACCAGATCACAGTGAACACCGCGACCAAGATCACAGTGAATCCCGTGAGCAGATCACAGTAAACGCTGTAAATTGGCCTACAGTGAAAACTGGTAATAAATTAACGGCATTTACAGGACATTTTTGGTAGAGTGTGCAACAGACACGTTCTTCGGGCACGCTTCTCAAAACCGACGTCCTTTCGGCAGCTTGTGTAACAACTGTTGCTCTGCTTTACATGCAGAAGGTAGGGGACTTCAGTAAGTGTACATACCACGTTGACTCCAGGTGGAGTGTCCAATGTCGACGCTTGAGTTCGTAGAGTAGCCTTTGGAATTGACGCTGCCAATCCAACTGTGAGACAGTCTCACACTTGTAGGCGTGGGACATTTTGTTTCGCGCTTGAGGGTGTGGGACATTTTGTTTCACACTTAAAGGTGTGAGCCACGTTTGTCCCACGCTTGCAGGTGTGGGACAAGCTGTGTCTCACACCTACAAGTGTGAGACTGACTCACACTTGGATTGGCAGTGCAGCAAGAAAAAAGAAAGATTTCCAGAAATTTTAGGAGTACCGAAGTTAGTTCGGTTATTGTGTAGGAGTGTAGAAAAAGAAAAAAAAGTTGTGTGAAAGGGATAGGAGGGTGGGATGGTTCGGTCAGGACCAGAAACCTGGCAAATTTGGCTTTTCAAGGTAGGTTTCGCTCGTTGGTTTCGTGATGGTACCCAATGAAGGTTTGAGGTAAAGTTGACTTGCCCGGTTTACAGAAAGACCAAAAACTGAAGGCCCCCGAAACACTTTGGTTTACCACTTTTAGTTCAAACTCGAAGTGTGAGTGGGGAAACCGAACACTAGAAATGGTATGTTTTGAAAGTGCTCAAACTTGTCTCATCTTGTCTGGACTTACAACAATTTTCATCTCATCTCATGCAGTCTTGAATTCAAAGAAAAAGTTGGAGAGACCAGTTTGCCGTTCAATGGTGAATATGATTCTCACCTCCAAGTTGTGTTCCTACGTAAGAAGGGAGGACGGAGCCCAAGAAAAAAGGGAATGCAATTCAACAGGAAAAGCTTGCTCTCTACATTTATTTAGAGGGCCACCTTGCCTCTCACATCAAAAGACAGGTTTATTGGCTAACCAACCATTTATGCAAGAAACGCCTTCTTCGACACTTAGCGGGCCACCTGGCTTCTAAGCTGAAAAGGCAAGTTTATTGGCCCACCAACCATACGTCCATTTATTCGGAATAAGGGGGCCAACAGGCCCTTTCGCTCAACAGACATGTTGAACCCATGAAACAGGCAAGAAAAAAGGGAATGGAATACAACTGGAAAAGCTTACTCTCTACATTTATTTAGAGGTCCACCTTGCCTCTCACATCAAAAGACAGGTTTATTGGCTAACCAACCATTTATCCAAAAAAACTCGTATTTTGATACTTAGCGGGCTACCTCGTTTCTAAACTAAAAAGGCAAGTTTATTGACCCACCAACCATAAGGGAGTATGGGGCGATTTGTAACAGATTTCGGAATTCTCTATACAAAATTAAGAACATTCTGCATATCGGTGTCAAACTTGTGCCAGTTGAGCAGTCTGGCCCTTCATCTAGACTGTGCAGCTCCATTGGATCAATCTAGAGTCCGTAATCTTTGAAATCTAAGACGTTTTCCAAACCCTTGCATGCTGTTACGAATCGCCCCAGCATGGGGTGATTTGTAACAGCCATGGGGCTTCTCATAACATCCTACACATTAAATGAAACATCGTCGGGAATGGTATCTCCTCCACCAGTTGTTCTTCGGGTGTCCTGCAGACGTCTAAATATCTACATTACAAGCTGCCGTTGACCGCCTGAGCATTAACTGATAGGCTATGTCAATCCAAACCTCACTTTTTCAATTTTAGAGGAAAGCATAGAATAACTCGCTTTAAAATGCATTCCGAGCTGTGTAAATGTATTGGATTAAAACAGCAGATGATTCGAGAAATAATTCAAGCATTTAACAGCAAAAACTACTTAAATTCTTGTTTTTGTACGGGTCTGTTACGAATCACCCCAAATGCCTGTTACGCAAGAAATCCGTTCCTAACTATCATTGGACAAAGTAAAAACAACTTATGCCACGTGTTTACATTGTAAAGGGGTCACGCTTCAAGGCCCCAACGGTACTTCGATGGTGATTCATACCTGGGGAGCCTCAGACAGAAACTTCCCTGAACGCAAAATAAAAGATTTGCCTGTTTGCCGAAATTTCGGTGTACCCTATATTTCAGACGCCCTCCAAAACTATACCTGAGCACCGATCACATCCGCTTCGATTGTTCAAGGACCCTGTACTTGAGGCGAAAGAGGGGCCATACTCAGATTTTCCTCTGCTCCCTCCAAATAAATAAACGCATTTGTTACGAATCGCCCCTGTTACAAATCGCCCCATACTCCCTTACGTTAGGGTGATTAGGGGTTTCGGACTTCTTCCATTTCCGATCGAAAATAGTTGCATTGAGGCCTCATTAGAACGTGTGCAAAATCTGGTTTCGATAGTTTAAGGCTAAAGCGAGGCACAGAGCGCCGAAAGATTTGGCTATTTTGAACGGCGCGCGCGGCATGGGTTCCGGTAGCGAAGCGCAGCGCGCATGCGCAGAGGTGTTAAGGCGTTGCTGTGGTGTGTTTGTTGCCAATCTCGTCTCATATTTCGGGGCACATAGGTCGTAAAATACACGGCAATTAACTAGAACACCTAGACGAGTCTAAATGTAAGATGCGAATAACACAAACGAACCTAACCCATAACCTACGCAGCTGCGCGCATGCGTACGGCGCGCCAACACCGGAAGCCGTGTCGCGCGCGCCGTTCAAAATAGCCAAATCTTTAGGCCCCCTGTGCCTCGCTTAGGACTTGAGCTACCGAAACCAAATTTCACACAGGTTTCAATGAGGTCCTAATGCACCTATTTTCGATCGGAAATGGAAAATCTAAAGCAATTTCTTAAAATTTAATCACCCTACCCTTACGTCCATTTATTCGGAATAAGGGGGCCAACAGGTCCTTTTGCTAAAAAGACATGTTGAACCCATGAAATAGGCAAGAAAAAAGGGAATGGAATATAACAGGAAGAGCTTTATCTCTACATTAATTTAGAGGGCCACCTTGCTTCTCACATCAAAAGACAGGCTTATTGGCTAACCAACCGTTTATCCAAAAAACGCGTTCTTTGATATTTAGCGGGCGACCTGGCTTCTGAGATAAAAAGGCAAGTTTATTGGCCAACAAACCATACGTCCATTTATTCGGAAAAGGGGGCCAAGAGGCCCTTTTTCTCAAAAGACATGTTGAACCCATGAAATAAGCAAGAAAAAAGGGAATGGAATACAACAGGAAAAGCTTACACTCTACATTTATTAAGAGGGCCACCTTTCCTCTCACATCAAAAGACAGGTTTATTGGCTTGATTTCTTGATAAAAAAAGAAACAATTCGAAAGCAAAGCGCCGTAAACCGTCCCTAAACAACTGATCACTCCAACAAAAACGTATTATAATCTAAGAGGCCCATCTTGCCATTTAGCTTTAAAGACAAGTTTACTGTCGAACCAACTTTAAATCCATAAAACGTGTCCTTAAAATTTAGAGAGCCACTTGGCCTTTAGCTTGAAAGAAAGGTCTGTGGTGGGAACAACCCAAACAGAACATTGCCATAGGAGTAAGACAAAACATCTAGGAGGCTTATGGTTTCTTGTAGCGGTACTGATTCCCTCGGGTATTGATGAACAAAAAGTCTTCTGCATTAACGACTTTCTTCCTCAACCTGATGTATCTTTTGAGTTTATCGGCAAGGGAATGTGGCAAGAGACATCGTTTGTCCTGGCAAGTCAGGAGATCACAGCGCACAACGGCGTTACTTGGAATCCTGCAACAGGAAGGAATGCAGTTCTACAAATTATGCTGTAAAACAGTTCTT